ATATGATTGATCCTTCATTCTGACCTATCCCTTTTTCCGTGCTTTTTGAAAAAAAATTAAACAGGTTTTGAACAATTTTAAAAGCTACAACAGCAGCATAATGCATGAAATATGTTTGTCTTATTTAGTGACATATCTCCGTTTACAAAATAAAATGGATGCAAAAGGAAGTCGTTCGAGTGTTTGAAATGAGGAGGAAATCATTAAGACTAAGACTGGTTTCCAATCCAGTACATTGCTTTTTGGTTAGTAAACCTGACTGGGGTCAGATGTAGTGTAAAAAGAGAAAATACCAATATTTCAATAGCATCATAATCAAACCATAAATTCAATAAATACATATCATTTCTACTGCTCGACAGGCTGAGCTGTGATTGTTACAGATGGTCGTAGTCTCTGATTGAAAATGAAAAACACGTGATCACAAAACACGTTGATAATGACGTAATAAATTTTCATTGTCGACTTTTAGGGATTTTTATTTTTACTGTGAGAATAGCAAACATGGTTAACTAGAATGGAGTTATACATCTGAAGCGGAAAGACAGCTTACAACATACACGCACACCCCCAAATGTGTTTCTCACAAGCAAAAGACAACCCACTCGTCAAAAGCAAACTTTAGTTAAGCAATACTTGATGCATTAACAACTTACCTTGGATCAAAGGAATGAACCTCACAGTTGTAATAACGAGCAATGTCGTCATCGAAAGGAAAATCATTAGCAATACTGCAAGTTAAGAAAAAATATATATGTTTATATCAACAGTCCCAGTAAGCCAACACATTTAGCAAAATTGTGTAACGGCGAAGGCAGTTAGAACACACTAACATCGTCAGAATGTATGGATTAAACACTCAGTGATCAATCTCAATTTATCTCGATCAATTTCCACATACGAATGGAATGGAATACTTCATAACTTCATAATCATGAATAATTCAATTTGGTATTTTTTTGTTTCACTGGTAAAACAAATCCATATCCATATCAGCACGCGATAACAGCACAGGTTAAACTATCAAATTACAACTGCTGTCTTTTCACTCAGTAAGAAGATTATATAAAGTGTCATTTCTAAGAAATGATATACTTACCCAAAAGAGTACACCAGACATTTATTTCTCGGGAGATACTTTGGTTCAACACATATATCCCATCCACTATCCGTAATCTTTCCGAACCTCCGTGGGGTTTTACATACGGTTTGTATGGTACTTAGGTTATCTATAATAAATAAGTAGTTGATACGTATAGTAATAATATAATCAGACTAAAAAACGTCATATACCTTAGAATTGTCGCACTAATCCGGCCTCAGTCATATATTTCTGTTTGTTCTCCATGAATTCTCAAATATTTATACAATGATAGCGCAATAATTGTTTTATAACATTTCATATAAAATTTTAACCATACATCTCATATCTAACAAGCATTACATGCTAAGTTCAGTAATCCTATCGAACCTTTAATACTAATTATGTGTAATATATGACAAAAATGTTTATTTTAGAGAGAAAAGAGGGAAGAACAAAGAGGGGGAAAAAGAGAGAATGCAATTATTAACGGTTTTCTTTTGACAGTGAGGCAAACCGCTTAATTTTAGCTTGTTCCTTGACATCTTGCTGGCTATTTGCCTCCATATCTAATATTACAAATGCTGGGCGCTGAAGAAATACTTTTTTGATTGGTTAAAAAATAAATGGAAAATCTTTTTATTAGGAAAAGAACAAAGCGGTACAAAATAATAAATTATCCGGTTTACAGTGCAATATCAATAAAAATCGTCAGAACACGTGACCGTGTATCGGCAAATGAAAATGCAGAATAAAACAATTATTTAAGAATATTTCTCCCTGGATGGTTATGGTTGTGTTCTACTTCTCCATTCATTCAAGAACTATCTGATAGAGTAAAACAAAAGGACTAACTCGGGTTACCACATTGTTATGGTAATTACTCGAACGTCGCCGAATTTACCAATGACAACGTTCCTTTGATCTGACGAAACCGGCAATAATTCCTAGATGCTGTTAGACTGGATGACTAATTAGTACATAATTCGTAGCTTTCATTTCGTTCGGATTTCACAATATATCATTAATTTGCTAAACTGATTTGGTAACATAACTCCTTGTTCTTAAAACTGAAGTTACGACAACAACCGCAATCTGGTCATGTCGATACCAAGATCAGCCTAACATATAAGGCAGAACAGCAGTTGAAATGTCTGTTGATTTCGTTAATTCAGTGTCGTATAGTATCTTGTATAGTGGGTAAGTAAGACCAATTGGCTAAACGAATCGACTTTGTACTTGTAGCTGTTGTCGATTTCTGTTAGTTGAAATAATGAAATAAGACCTTTTAAAATAAGCGATCTATCCGAGCCGAAGTCAATTAGATTAGACATTGTCGATATTTTGGATTTTCCTAGCCTCGAGAGAGATTTGTTACCAAATTTCATGTCAAGAAGTTCCCAATAGAGACCTGCTTTTTCTGTTTTAGAATATAATCTGCCCTCAGTATATGTTCTCTTTTTTAAAATGCCCCGAGCCTACGCTGATATTGACTTGTAGGAATTAGTTCAATATTCATATTATTAACAGCCCAATCATGCCAACCTATATGTTTGATAACGATTAAAAGAGAACTTACCGTTGATACAATAATTCTAGGTCCGGTAAAGTCATCCTACAGAGATCCGACACAGGTGGTAGCAGGTAAAAATCTGTATTATAGTCGTAAATATAAGGGTTCGATATATTTTTGAGGACACATTTCATTATTTCATCAGAAATACGCATGTCCTGAAATAAAACATAAGTAAAGAGAAGAATGTGTAATGTTTAAAGACAAATAGAACAATTACTTATAAAACCACAAAGAAAATACAGACATGTTAATAAAATGTTATTTCAAATATAGATTACATGAAACTACGACAAAAAAGTTGCATGGTGATTCCGGAATAACTACAAGGAGACTTCCTCCAGATCTTCTGAACAGGTAAGCGTTTTAGGCTTTATCAAAGACAGCCCCATGTAAATCTTTGTGAATCCAAGAGACAATGTAACGTCCCCAAAATAAGAACTAATATATCACGTGGTTAAATCTTATGAAGAAATTGAATCAATTTCAGTCCATTAATGGTGGAAAGGCAATAATATAATGACATTTTCATCGTATCGTCTCCGTAGCAATGCAGAAAATAATAACACATTCAGATAGTGAAATTATAATTACATAGTTGTAAAGTTCCGTCTATGCACCATTGATACCTGATCTGTTACCTCCCCACTTGTTTGCAGCCTTTAAATCACCCTGTATTGCCCTTAATGACCTTTCCGGTGTGTTTGAGACGTGATGATTATAAATAAAAACCCACACTCGCCTTCAGTATATCAATACCTCAGACACAATACCACGCTGACGACTTAATATTGAAACAGTTTTATAGGCCAACATGAGCAAAACGAAACATACGATTTTCAGAACAATTAATATGTAGTACATATCCAATGCAATGATATACTGTATCTGCCACTTCTATAAACATTGTATAGGTACACTAGGGTTATAATATCAAGTTATAGTTTTTTTTTAATTTTTAATGTTTAGAAAGATATGCGGATGTATATATATATATATATATATACAACGTATGCTTACCGATTTTAGGTCTCTCGTATACCCTCCAGAAGCTTTCTTCAGGGAGATAGAAATAATAAAGATAATTATAGGTAAATAATTACAAAAATCCATCTTAATGTTTGAAAATTATGTTTTCAAAAACGTTCAGTATAAGCCATTGAATTATATAGTGAATCACTTGAAATCTGTTTTCTCTTTTCACTTTAAACATATATAAAAATCGCGTATATTTATCTATTTACCAATTAATTTGTGTAATATAAAAACGATAAATATTTTAAAAGAAACTATAGAGATGAATGTGTATCATTATGTATATTTGTAAGATACAACCTTCAGTGACGGAAATTCTTCATGTCTTGTGGTAGGCGGGTCTTGTACCTATTCAGAGTAAAAATGAAAGAGTGGAGTATTTCAGCCTTATTTTAGTTTTGCATGTCCCGACTACTATACTCATGTTGATTGGGCTAATTGAAAATATTGAAACATAAGATTTAACATTGTCTGACCCTTTGGTTGTAGCAATATGGAACAATATAACACATGGAAAACACATTGGAGATTACTGAAACTGTTGGTATTTTCCTAATATTTTCTATAGCAATCAAACGCAAAAGCCACATTTTCGATACAAGTAACATTGTTTGTTTGAATTTTCCTACAGTCTTAAAAATGTAGTCATATTCCTCGTGCAAATCTACGTCTGCGATGTTATATTTTATGCAAAAATGGCTTAAGACAAGGATACAATCACATTCAAAAGACATTCAGCACACATTCCATTCCAACACAAACCTTAAATATCTTTACACCTGAAAATGTCTTTTGTATGGAGGACGACGTAAATACCACAGTTGACACAAGGGCCGTTGTGAACATTACAAGTATGGAAAATCGCATTCGATAGGACATCTTCATTTGTTAGCACTCTGAAAAATAAAGATAACATTAGCAGTACCCTTTTCATGACTTCGATGTATCATTTTGTTACGATGTCCTACAAACAATCAAAGTCAAAGGAGATCTGGTGACTGTATAAGTCGAAAAAGAGACCCCGAAAGGATTGTACTTTAACTTTAAGGTACACTGTAGCGAGAGTACGTCAGGTCGTTATGCGAACGTGAATATACTTAAGCCTTAAAGAGAGTTAGCTTCGGGATACAAATGGAACAGTTACATATGAATGATATGTTTCTGAAAATGAAGACTGGAGATTTCCGCTTACATAAATTCTATAGATATTTTTATAATTAAATACTACAGTACCATACTGCAGTAAAACAGTAACACTGAGGTGTAATGTCACACATATCTTAGTAGAAGATTCGTGCCAAAAAATGTCGCTGCAATCAAACCCGTACTGTTGCTTTTTCACAATGGTTGGAATGCGACATTCATTGTTATGTTGTAATAGCAAGACACTTTGATCTGATCAATGCATTCCGGGATAATTTAGGATCGATTGTTGAAGGTCACATGAAAGAAAGGGGTTGTCATGCATAAAGGTAATTCGAAATTTCGAAAAGTGTCCTGGTTTCGTTTATGAACAATCTACTCCCTTCTCCCACTGTTTTTATGCATGTTTTACTGTTGTTGACAGGACTTGAATCAATATAAACTATACCAAGCCATATAGTTGCTGTTGCACTGAAACTATAATATTGAAGAATACTTTTTCCATCATGATAGACTGGTATTATTTTTCTGCGATTTTTTCTGAGCTTTCAAAAGTGAACTGGCAATATTTTGTATGCAAGAAGGCAGCAGGCATTGTAATGGTGATTTGATCTCATGAATTATTATCTGGAAAAATATCGAATGTGTTTTTTTCTTTTTTTTTATGCACGGGCAAATGTTTACCTATTTAAAATTTGTGTTCTTCATTTCAGGAGTGATAATGATCTAAAATGATTTAAAGTTTTGCTTTCTTCGAAATAAATTTAAATAAAATTACATAAATTACTTTTCGTGGTCCGGAGAATCATGGAGTCCTAATATAAAAGGAAACCGCGGAAAAGGTGTATTGTACGTTGCCGGGCAGATGACACCGTACCTTTTTCCGTTCTTTCCGTTTATCGAAGAGCGGAAGCTTCTTCGAAAAAAAATGTATCACCAGTGCGCCACCCGACCTCCATAAATAGACTTGAGCTCAATGTGTCTATCCATTTCTTGCCAAAATAAACTTATAATTTCGCTATTTTCTAAAGGAGTTATAGATTCAAATTCAAATGGTGATTTTTTGTCTTATTTTAAACATTTCCACACAATTTCGAAAAAAAAGAAAAGAAAAAAAGAAATTAAAAAGAACACGGTTGGCAGAATGTAAACTTACCACAGTAACTTCAAGTCTGAAGACACTTCATGTGCCAGAAATATCGCAAACAATACTGGTATTTACTGACCGAACTGTTAACACTCAAACACGGTGTGTTTTAACTGATACACACATGTATGGGTTCCAGGTTACATTAATTTAAGTTCTGATAAAATGTATACCAATGTTAAGTTATTGAACTTGCTTTCTACTTAAAGAAAAAATATGGAAAAAGGAACGTTTACTTACATGCACCAGT